AAATTTCCCCATAAAAGACGGCAAGACCTGATACATAAATCTCATGAACGTAATGGGTGCATTGGATAGCCCAAAAAGGCATGGCCATCCACTCATATAACCCTTGTGGCATTTTAAACGCCGTCTTCCACTCATCTCCAAGTCTTATTCTGATTTGGTGGTAACCGCTCTTAAGGTCAATTTTTGAGAAGACCGAAGAACCAGATAGTTGATCCAACATATCATCTAGACGGGGAATTGGAAACCGGTACTTAACTGTAATTCTGTTGATCGCTCGGCTGTCAACACACATACGCCAAGAACCATCTTTCTTTGGCACTAGCAGAGCAGGGACTGCACATGGGCTCATACTCTCTCAGATATAGCCCCTCTCCAACAACTCTTCCACCTGTCGCTGCAAATCTTCAGCCTCCTTGGGACTGAGGCGATATGCTGGTCGATTTGGCAAACTTGACCCAGGAACAAGGTCAATTTGATGCTGAATATCCCTCATAGGTGGTAGCCCATGAGAAAGATCCTTTGGCATCAAGTTAGAGAATTCTACTAGCAGTCGCTGCACTTCTACTGGTAAATCTGCATCCACGTCTACTGCATTGTTCTCGCAAGGTAGTAAGGCATAGACCACGTCGCCATGCTCAATCTCATCTAAAAACCTGGACATAGAAAGCAGAGTAGTATTATGGGTTACTGGGGTAGGAGTGAGTCCTTTCCGCCGGGGTGCCAACACAATCTTTTTTTCCCTTGATGCTAAGGGAATATGTATTCTTCCGTCCATCATGAATGACACTGCGATCATACTGCCAGGGTCGACCCAACAATATATGACACGCATCCATAGACACAACATCACACCAGGCATTATCAAAATATTTTCTACCAATTGAAAAAGACACGAGGCATCGCCTATCAACTATTACCTCACTGCCTTTATTTAGCCATGACAGCTTGTATGGCTTAGGATGACGGTCCGTCTTCAACTGCAATTTCTGGACAACCTCCTCGGACACTACATTCTCACAACTACCGCTGTCAATGATCATTTTGCAGACTTTATCTGCAACTGTGCAGGTCGTGTGGAAAATATTGGTTCTCAACCAATCATCCCCCTAAATCGCCCTTGGGAGTAAGTAGACTCTTGCGAATGACCAGAGTCTCATGACCATCTCCATACAGCACATCATCAGTCTCATCATCGTCATACACGAGTTCGCCAATCTCCTCAGTCTCGTCTTCCGCGTTTTCCTCAATCAACAAATTTTTGCCCTTTTGACTAGCAGCCTTCCTGCAATCAGTCACCCTATGCCCTTGTTCACCACAACGAAAATATCTAATAGTAGGGTTAGAATTACCCTGCGGTGGCTGTTGAGCAGGACAGGAATCCTGATGACGAACTGGTCGACTGTTATGATCGTTCCTGATCATTGGTCTCTTGTTTTGCTGTTTTTCAATAGCAAGTGCACGCTGGTAAGCTTCCGAAACACTCCACAGTGAATGAAGGCTGAGGACATCTTATAAGGGCTGGCATAAACCCCCCAAATACCGCGCCACCATTTGCTCTTCCGTCTCAGATAAATCCTTTCGGGCGACCAATTGGTAAAACTCCTCCGTGTAATCATCGACTGATCGTGCGCCCTGCCTCAATGCATGAAGTCGATGAAACAAGGTTTGCGTGTAGCCGAAGGGAAGGAAGTGACCCTTCATCTTCTTCTTCATCTTCTCCCAATCAATGATCTTGGCCTTGTCCTGTCTTTCTCGTGAACGTCGTAACTGTTCCCACCACGCAGATGCTCTGCCCTTGAGTTTGATGGCGATCAATTTCACTTTCACACGATCGGGGACTTCCTTATATTCAAAAATACGCTCTACTTCATTAATCAAATCCACAAATCCCTCGGCCTGTAATGTACCAGAAAACTCAGGGAGATCGACCCAAAAACCGAGGTCTCCATGACGCTCTTCCCGACCACGGTGTTCATGGAATAGAGCACGATTGTGATATGGATTTTCGAAAGCGGAATTGGTATCATGATCAGAGGCCTCACGATCCTCAAAACCCTACGCCGCCAAGCGCTGGGTTAATTCTGCAACTTGCCTCTGTAAATCTGCAATCATCACATCCTGAACGTTGCGATCACGGCGTTGGGCTTCCTCATTCGGAACCTGCTCACGATGACCACGACCTCCAGCCATTGAAACTGGTGAAATTTCCCAGGAAGATGTTGAAGCTCTTATACCAATTGACGCTAGACAGAATAGTGATTATCCTGCAAGCGCTCCAACAGATGATTCACAAGAGAAAATTCGCCCAAAAAAATCCAGAGAAAAAAAGTCTCTAGGGTTTAATAAAATATTATCAAATCAAACAATCCCAAAAATCAGTCCACAAGCCGGACTGTTATAGCCAAAAATCGTCTTTATTCGAATTTTGCCAAAAATAGCAAAATCCCGAAAATCACTCTAAATTGAAATTTGAAATAAAATAAGCAATCTCCAAAAAATCCGGCCTAAATCGGATTTAAATTGACTTCCTAATTGACAATCGAAATATTACCATAAATAGTAAAAAATATCTAAATCTAGTGCTTCGGAGGGGAAAACGGTAGAATTTTAGGTTGAAAAAAGGCCACATGGAGCATAGCTTATGTGGAGAGTGTGCACGTCGAAAAGAACTTTCCGGATTGGGGTCTTATGCGCGATTCTGACACCTGTAGCCAAAGTTATGGCCAAAAGACTGAAACATACTCAAAACGACCCCAATGAGGAACATGTCACAATCAATTCTCGCCTTTGCATCGATCTGCCAATTCATGGTATCTCAGCGCCATCAAGGTGCAATCTAACAGCTCAGCATCATCTGTCTCGGATCCCCCTGCATCATCTGGGAACAAGTATGCCAACCTGTTATCCAAGGGGGGCTAGGAATTAGACAAATGGGGAGTCAAAACGAAGTGTTCCTGATGAAACTCGCTTTTCACCTTATTTCCAATCGGGACCGTTTATTGGTGAAGGTTTTTCGGACCAAGTATAAACTACTTGATGATATCCCCGGCCATATTTGGAGGAATGGATGCTCTCGGTTATGGCGAGGGCTTGCGTCAATTTGGGATGAGGTTCAAAGAGGCATTATGGAACTTGGGGAACGACAGTAACGTTGACTTTTGGCTGGATGACTGGGTAGGTGATACTGGGCCTCTAATTCATCATTGTATTAGTCCTCCCCCAGCTTCTTCCTCGTTGACTCCTGTGTGTTCCATGGTTGACGAAAATGGCGAATGGAATTGGAGAGGCTTTCGGCAATTCCTACCGGACACAATTCTTCTTTCAATTGCTGCGGTTAAACCGCCTCTACCGTCCGGAGGGGCTGATGTTCCGGGCTGGAAATGGGAAAAAAACAGGCGATTTTCCACTACAAGTGCTTATAGTCGCGGAACTCTGAACACGAACTTTGTAGAAGCTGATATCTGGAAATGTATTGCTAAGTATAAGGGGTTGCCTCGAGTCAAAATGTTACTTTGGCTACTTTTCAATAATATACTTATGACAAATGAGGAGCGGCTTCGGCGCCATATGACGGATAACCCCGGGTGCGGCTTCTGTGGGGCTCTTTTGGAATCCGTTGCCCATGTTTTCCGGAACTGTGTTGCGGCTGCTCCCCAGTGGATATTGGATAACGCTGATTAAACCTGAGTTGGTTGCTGAATTTTTTAGTTTAGATATGGTCGACTGGGTTCACACTAATATTCAAAACCCCATGTATTTCAAGTCAGAGGGGAGGGTTGGGATCTTCTCTTCGGGCTCTCATCTGGTGCATTTGAAACAAAAGGATCAAGCTGATCTTTAACTCTGATAATAATGTGAGCGAAAATATCCTTCAAAGAGCTATTCATATGAGCAGGAAAACTAGGGTGGCTTCTGCACATAAAGTTTCCATGCAAAACCAGGTTTGTCGAGAAAATCGGACCAATGCCAAGTGGTTCCGTCCACCGACCGGGTGGTTTAAAATAAATGCGGATGGATCTCGTCATCCATCTTCGGGGCTTTCAGCGTGTGCAGGCGTTATTCTAGACTCGAATGGGAAGTGGATAAATGGTTTCTCCACAGCTCTAGGGCAGTGTTCGGTATTGGATGCAGAGTTATGGGGCTTATGTGAAAGTCTTTCGAGGGCCTGGGATCTTGGTTTGAGAAGGATTGTCATCGAAACGAATTGCGCCGAAGCGGCAACAATTCTTCGACAGGGTGTGTGCATGGATCGTATCTCTCATTTGGCTCCTCATTTATGTGCTTTGCTATTGCGTGAATGGAACTTGAAGATTTCGCAGACCGTGCGTGAGAATAATGCAGTAACAGACATGCTGGCGAAATATGCCTGGAGACTACCATTTGGTGTTCATTGTTTCAACAGCCCACCTCTTTGGATACAACCACTGCTGGAATCAAACATGGTCGTAGGCTTTAGCTCTTAACCTTGTCTTACTTTACCTTCATATTCAAAAAAAAAAAGATTAAGTTAATAACAAAATATATTTAATAAGTTAATGTAAAAAATATTTTTTAAAGTTAATTTATTAAAAGTATGAATAAATTGAGATAATATCTAAAAGTAATACTAAATTTATTTTAATTTATTAAAAATAAAATTAAATTGAGAGAATTTGTAAGTAGCATTGAACAAATATGTGATTATATTAAAATATCACGTCACATGATAAGTTAATTATTAACGGCAATTAATTTGTGATGATTATATCTTAATTATAAAACGAAAGTGATCATATCTTAATTAATTAAAAACAATGTAACAATATATTATTTTTTAAATTAATAAAAAATTTAAATAAAACACAAACATAAATGATCGTAATATTAATCAACCTTAAAATCAAATAAAACAAAACAAAACGCAATAGAATAATAGTATTAGTTATAGCGAGAGCCAACCATTTTGAGTATTCAAAGTTCCTGCTCCTGCATGTCTACGTTCTCCCTTCTTCTCTTCTTCCATGGCTCAGCCCCATCAAACCAACCCCAGAATCGGTTGTTTTGTGTTTTACATGAAGAAGAAATCCCAGCAAAACAACACCCGATCGCTTTATTGGGCAAGGTTTCGCTTAATCTCGAGGAATTCAAGCACCAAAGCCGTGCCTGTGAACAACAAAGACAAGACCGGGGCTGATCGTAGCAAGACGAAGAAGAAACCAGATAGCACCGAGCGACTGCCCTCCACTAACCATTTTGCACGAGAAACACTTAAAGAGGTTTGTGTTAAAGAGTTCAAACTTGAAATGAAACGTTAATTGATAAGCTTATTTTAGCTCTGTACAACCGCAGCATTATTACACTGGTTCAAAAAGTGATCTATGCTTATGGATTTCCGAAATGCTCCGATATGATCGAAGGTTCTCCTACTGGAAAACAAGGAATTTGTGGAGAAATTCGAACCGGTGATGGGTATATCGATTATCATGGTGACCTTGATAATAATGGCAATATGGGGTCGAGTATGCGCCATTCTTTGTACGTCGGCATGCTTATATATTTTCCCTCGTTTCCGAACCAGAAGTATCGGTAATGAAAGCACCACCCCCAACGCCGACGATTTGCATTTGAGCTCCGAGGAGTATAAGAAGAAGGTGGTGCTGGAAGGGTTGCTCTGGAGGAACCGACCGTTTACCTTATGAAATCCTTTTTGCAAAAGACAAATTTCTCTGTTGGCTTGGATCATGTGCACGTTAGATGTAAGTGTACTGGTTTGCTAAAGTGAGTCCGATGGGCATTTTGTGTAAGTTATTAGTATCAAAAAATCGATGGAAAAATCTTTATTAGTAAAAAAAGGCTTAATACAAAAACAAGTGTATGCCCCGAAAATATTGCTTAAAAACTTTTTCGGAAAAAATAGTGTTTAAAATTTTCTCTGTTATCATCTTAGGTGTCTAGACGTTATAGTCCGTTAAAAAAACTCATTAAGTGACATATGTCACGTTCAAGTAATTTTAAAAAATTGATTTAAAATAAAAATATAATTTTTTTAAAACCCAAAAAAATCCAAATCTTATTAGGGTTTGTAGTTTTTTTTTTTAATTGAGGATTCTGATAAATTGAATGCTTATTGTGAAAATTATTGGAGGTAGAATTAAGGGATTTTGATTCTAAATCCAAAGTTTTGGCATTGACGATTGGCCTTTGGCCGTGGAAGTTGGTTGCAGGGGAGGGGGAGAGGGGAGAGGGGAGGGGGGAGGAGGGAGAAGACGGGGTGGGAGAGGGGAGAGGGGAGAGGGGAGAGGGGAGAGGAGGGGAAACACACTGATTTTTTAAATAAATTTTCAAAATTATCATAACGTGTGACATGTGTCACTCAATAAGGTTTTTTAACTGCAGTTAACGGCCGAACACCTAAAATAGTAACGGATAAAACTTTAAACTCTTATTTTTAACAAAAAATTCTTTAGGCGTTAAAACATTTTTGGAATCATAGTTTGGGCACTTATGTTTGTATTAAGCCGTAAAAGAATGACACTCAAAATTAAAATATTTTTTAAAAGTCTAAGTGATTACAAGATAGTATATATTTATGAACTTTTTTAATGCAAAGGAGGCTGAGAAGCCTTAATCGCTTGTCATCCCTCCAGTGTCCTTAGGTAAAGACCTCCTGGACTTCAGCTAGCAGAACAGAATGCAAAATCACATTGGCAGTACTCCTCCAAGCCAGACTAGCAAAGCCACCGACTACCTTATTGCATTCTCTAGGCACGTATCTGAATTGTAAGTACCACTCTTATTGAAGCAGATTTTGGACATGTAGTATAAGAGCAGAGACATCGTCAACATCCTGCTTTCGTTAAAGAACGACCACTGCTTCCTTGCTATCCGTCTCCACAATAATCCTTCGAACATTTCTCTCCCAAGAAATCAGTAAACCCGTAAAAACTCCTCATAGCTCTGCATCAACCACTGAGAAGCATCCAATACGTTTTGGAAAACCAACAGCCCACTCGCTGAGATGATTCCGTACCACTTCGCCACAAGTTGCCAAACTAGTCGAGTTCTGCCGAGCACCCTGTGTTTAGCTTAACCCAGCTATTCGGTCAAAACAAATAAGTTATTAAAGTATTTTTTATCAAAAAAAATATAAAGTTATTTTTTGTCAAAATAGGTAACTAAAGTATATTTTTATCAAAATAGGTCCTAAATTATTCAAATTTTTTTATCTAGATACCTAAAGTATTCTTTAGTTAATGTCACATGTCAACTTTTTTATAACTTAGGTGAAACAAATTGAATAGTTTAGGTACCTATTTTGACATAAACTACTTTAGGTACCTATTTTGACCAAAATGATAAATTTACGGAATTATTTCTATCAAAAAATACTTTAAGTACATAAATGAAAAAAATGCAATTTAATTATTTATTTATGATATAAGTCTTATTTTAATCATTGAAAGTGTTGAGTAATTGATAACATGAATATCAAGAATTACTATTACTTCCTTCTGTTCATAGCTCATACAACACTTATATAACACCTCACTAACCACCTAGCTATAACGTCTAACAACCATCAGTTATAACAAACTATAAATGTTTAACAATCATCAGCTATAACTGTTTATACAACATCACACTACAGCTGCACATATACAACAACAGCTCAACTATACTCAATATTCTTCCTACTTTTACCTTCTCCGCCAAGAAACGATTGAACACAAACCTTAGCTCGAAACACTTCAAACTGTGTTGTAGACAATGGTTTAGTCAGACCATCTGCTACTTGATGACTGGCTGGAATATAATTGACCACAGCTTGCTGAGCTGCAACCTTTTCTCTAACAAAGTTAACATCTAGCTCAACCTGCTTGGTCTTAGCATGATATACTGGATTTACAGTAACAGCAACTGCACTATTATTATCACACCATATGACCGATGTTTTGGACTGAACAACCCCCATATATGTGAGCAGAGAACTTATCCAAGTTGTTTCAGCAGTAACATCGGCTACACTTCTATACTCAGTCTCCATGGTCGACCTAGAAACAACCTTCTGTTTCTTAGAGCTCCACATGACCAAGTTTTCACCAACAAAAACACAATTGCCTGAAACAGACTTTTGATCATCTGTATTGGCAGCCCAATTTGCATCTGCAAAGGCCACAACATGCAACCCTACCACAGATGGTGTTATAACCAATCCATGATTAAGTGTACCAACCAAATACCGTAAAATACGCTTAACTGCTACCAAATGACCACGCCTAGGTGCATGCATATATTGTGCCACCTTGTTGACGCTAAATGAGATATCAGGGCGTGTGTGGCAGGCATAAAGAAGTGCTCCTACTATGCTGCGATACTCATATGTATCAGCCAACAAATCCCCAGCATCATCTTGTGTAAGCCTCGATGTAACTAGCATAGGTGTAGAAGAAGTTACTGCATTATGCATGTTGGTCTTCATCAGTAGCTCCATGATGAACTTCCGCTGACTAAGGACCAACATTTCACCAACACGATGAACCTCAATCCCAAGAAAGAGTTTAGTTCTCCAAGATCTTTCAGCACAAACTTTGCTCCCAAACGCTTTACAATCTCTTCAATCTGCTCGTTTGATTCTATTGTAATTATTATATCATCTACATAAACAAGCATGTATACATAACTGCTATGAACATGTTTAACAAACAACGAGGTTCTGCTTTGGATTCCTGGAATCCAATACTGACTAAGCACTGCTTCAACTTGTTGTGCCAGCTCCGAGGTGCCTGCCTCAGACCATACAACGCTTTTTGAAGATTGCACACTAGTGATACACCATTTGCAGTGTTTTGTTCAAACCCAGGTGGTTGTTGTATATATATATCTTCACTCAATTCTCCATGTAGAAAGACATTGTTTACATCAATTTTCCGTAGTTGCCACCCCTTGGTCACTGCTAGAGCCAAAACAACATTCACCGTGGTAAACTTGACCACTGGACTGAATGTTTCAGTAAAGTCGTGACCTGAAAATTGCGAGTACCCTTTTGCTACAAGGACAACCTTGTACCGAATGATAGAGCCATCAGGGTTCTTTTTAAGCTTGAAGAGCCACTTACACCCTACTGCTGACCGTCCCTCAGGTAGAGGCACGAGAGACCAGGTGCCATTCTTTTACAAAGCTTCAAGCTCAGCATACACATCGTTCCTCCAATGGGGTGATTGAAGAGCTTCATGCACATTAGCAGGCTCCATAGTAGCATAGGCAGCTGAGTATACTTTAGGTTTGTAAATTCCATGCTTGATTCTGGTTAACATGGGATGACAATTTACCACTGACCCTTCACCGCCCTGCTTCTGGTTTGTAAGTTCAATAGGACTTTGTTCGCTGGGTTCTCCACCACTTTTTCCACCGAGATGATCATGACTATGTCTACTAAGCTCATCATTACTCTCACTACTAGATTGCCCACTGTGCTCGCTCATGTTTGCTGACTCATAATTTTCCACAGCAGCATCACTGGTAGTAGCAGCATGACTTCCCACAGTCAACGATGGGTTCGATTATTCTTCTTCATTGAGAGGCGCAACTCCTGTGTTGAGTTAATCGATTGACGGAATTGGCCAAGAGGGGGGTGAATTGGCAATTAAAAATTTGGACGAAGCTTTTGTAGAAAATTGAAAGTAATTGCACAACGATTTAGAGTGATTCGACTTTCTCAATCAAAGTCTACGTCCACTACCTTAGCTACCACACTAAGGATTTTCCAACAAATTCACTAATTTGTTCTTTCTTTTGAGGCCAAAGAGATAACCTTACAACACCCTCAAGAATATACCCCAATTCTTGAGAACACTCTTTCCCAAAGAGAAGATTACAAATTTGCAAACTTACAAGGAAAACCTCACAAGGTAAGATGTTTGCACAATTCTAGAACAAGAAAAGAACACTCACAAATAATTACAAATGAGCACAAATGGTGTTCTTTGAAAGCAAAATGAATATTGAAAGGAAAATTGGCTTGATTTGCACAAACTTGGTGTTTAATGCTTTCACTCTTGTTTCTCTATGATTTCTTATCGATCAAAGGCTTCAGAACTTGTTTAAATACACCTTGAATCACTTTTGAACGTTGGGGATGATTAGTGAAGATCATATAGCCGTTTTAGTGTGAAAACAATTAATAAAACAGCTTGGAGCATGGGGGGAATCGGTACCCCCTATGGGGAATCGGTTCCCTAAGTGTAAAATTCAAATATTTCGACCGTTATACAAGGGGGAATCGGTACCCCCTGGGGGGGAATCGGTTCCCTCCGAGCATACTGGAATTCTCTGAGCCAAACCATTCAGGGGGAATCGGTACCCCCTTTGGGGGGAATCGGTTCCCTCTGAGCAATCTGGAATTTTTGGCTTTGAAATGGTTCGAAATACTTTGTAAAATTATTTTGAGATTGTTTTAAGATTAAAACTTAATTTTACACTTGAGTAAGGATTAAAAATGATTTTTGAAAGATTTGGAGTAATGTTTTGATATTCGAATAGATATATCGAATATACTTAGAAAATCATTTGGAAAATCTTAAAATTCATTTAACTTAATTTGTTATATCGAAATATCAAAATGTTTTCAACAATCTCCCACTTTTTGATATAACAAAACATTTTAGTAATTTTAATATTTTTGAAATCAAGTTTTGAAATT